ACAAGGTATTAAAAGTAGATCCTTGTGAAGTTCTTTCGGCTCTCTCCCTTTCTCTCTGTCTGTCTCTTTAAGCCACTGCCTATCATTTGTCTTGTCAAAAGCACCGGGTAGACAGGTAAATGGAGGCATGCTGGTGGGTGGGTGTTTTTGTCCGCATGATTACTGGAATTGTAGGCAGACAGACTCTGACCTGTATTAACAGTGACTTGTGTGTTTTTACGGCACTTTGAAGTATGTAAGTCAATCATATCTGAACCTAATATCCAGGTAATATACAACCAACATTCAGCATGCAATTACTGTATATTTATCAGATCAAACCATATATTTCCAAAATCGATGATGGTATTTTCTAATATAATTACATATTTTATTCCTTAGGTGATATGTAAATGGGATATATTCTGAAAAACGAATCTTTCCGTGCTTAAATATTCATTTCAAATCTGGAGTGCCTACCAACCCCAAAAACTGAAATATAACAACCAAATCATTTTTTGTGGGCCGCCTCTTTCAGCAGACATGGGATTTACCAATCCATTCAGATTTCCCTTTTTAGTTTCCATAAAGGCTTATTAGAATATACCAACCCCCCCCCCCCNCCCAATATATCCCTCAACAGCATGGGAAATACAATTTTTGTTTCGCCAGCCAATAAGAGCAGACTGGGGTTTTTGAGAGGTCCTTAAGAGACAGGCACTAAAGCAGGAGGTTTCTGAATAGGGAAAAAAAAATAAAGAACTCACATCACAAAATACCTGGTATGTGAAAAGCAAACTGAACACAGGGATGGCAGGTGTGTCCATAATTATACAAAAAACCTCAAATGATAGAAAAACACACCTGATGAACCATATTGTAAAATAAGGCTAACAATAGCAACCATTAGGAGATGTTTAAACCTTGAGGAAAGTTATTTGACGATGATAATAAAAGATACAATTCTGTATTTTTTTGAAGCTTCTACATCACAGAGATGAAATATATTTTCCGCTGAGGGTGATTTTGTCAGACATTGGTTGTCCTTGTGGTAAATGGCTGCTAAAAGCACAACAACATGTTGTCAAGGAAACCATCATTTGAAGTTGCTTCACGGGCGACTTGTCATCCATTTTTAGTTGAGCGACAGTCAACCGTTAAAAATCACATCACTTTTTCCTATGCACGACTGAAGTTATCAAACTACTGGGTAATTTCCACTGTGTTTGTGAAAAGTGGTTATTCTAAAACTGCAAGAGTGTCATTGGAAGATACCCGTCTATCAGAGACTAGAAGTAAAGTAAAGCAAAGTCTTTGCTTAACAGAATATAATATGTTGATATAATAACAAAAATAATAACCAAAACTGTATCTCAAATTATGAAAGCTTAACACAGTATGTAAGTATTACACCATAATGGGTGTCTTTGAACTGGAACCTGAAAAATTATAATTCACTGTTTTGCACTGCGACTGCAGTTTCAGTATTACTCAACTTTGGTTTAAAAAATGAACAATATATTGACAGTTGCATGATTTCAGTGTATTATCTGCTTTTTTACCACCTCTTTTTGTAATCATCTTTTGGCATTAGTGTTGTAGTATTGAAGGTTTTAACCTGCAGCGATCTGTGGCACAAAACCAATTTGTATATCCCCATGCAAAGACTGACAATTCAATCTGTTAGCTGAGAAACGAACATCAATGTGATGTTAATCATTGAAGTCATTTATTTCCTTCAAACTACAGCGCCAGCTGGAGGCTGCAGCAATAACAGCTCTGTGAACCCCCTCTCCATAGCCCCTCATTCAGGATATTAATTGCCCAGCTATGTCCTCCTGTTATCAATCTCTACCAATCACACTTTATTAAATAAAGACACAATTGCCTTCTGGCACACATTCACGCACAACAGCCGGCTTTATCATCATGTATCTACAGTCGACAACTGCAGCTCCGGACACATTAAGATGATCAGCTCGAGACTGATGTTCCACTATCAACACTAAACACACTGGCCAGACTTCCCAATTAAAATCCCTTTTGAGTGCCTCTTTCCAAGTGCATTTGGTGTGTTTAAATGTATGTGTTTATTCACATATGGTCCTGCATGATAACGCTGAACTTTGAAGCTTACATTCCTTAAATACTGTTCAATACTTAATGCTGTACGGAGCAGTTGCATACCTACTCTGTTGTACCCCACTATTTGTTGTGTGTGCCTCCCACATGCAGTGACTCAGTGGCATGTGGGTTTTTAGGTTGGCATTATGATCCTTTTTAGTTAATCAGATATGCTTTACAACCCACATAAAATGTGTCCAATATTTCATAAACCCTTCTTTATATTTGTTACATAATATGGGGGAAAACAACCTTGGTTTAGAGTTGATTGTCAATTTCATGCATTTTTGAGTTGTGGAAAATGTTTTTAGTTTCAGGCTGCTAATTGAAAAGTGCTCCAAGGTCCTTTGTGCAAAGAGAATATTTAATTAATTTGGGAAGGAATGATATACTGTAACACATAGCTTTAGTTTTTGAGACAAATGTTCAGAAGGCCACCGCACACAATTGCTATGGGTGTTATCACAGTATTATTTAGTTTATTTATTTCTGGCTTTTTTCATGTCAACCACAAACCAACACTATCAACACCTCAGTGGTTAAGGATATCAGTGCAACAGACAACAAAGGAGTTATATCAAAAGTGAACTGCTGCCTCAGTGTCCTCTGGGTCTCACACAAATCATACAGGGGATTTCTTGGATGCAAGTAAAGACTGCACATCCAGATGGCTTCATTTGTGTCTCACATCAGGGCTCATGCAAATGTTAGTATGTAGAGCACTGAAGGCTTAGAAATATAAAAGTTAAATATAGAAAATAAAAGTTGTTGTACAGTTTGTCAACTCTTCTGACTGAAGGCTAAAAGAAAGTGGAACAGAAACATGTCAAAAAAGGTGAGGTCACATCAAAAAAAAAGGTCACATCATTATCCGTTAAATGATTTCACTCAATGTTGCATGTAGCCTTTGAGCACAGACACAATTGAATGCTGGGTTCAAATTAATTGCCGTTGTGCTCTTATCATCCTCCCACAGGATGGCTTTTATCAAAATCATTACCTAATGGCTAAAAATGGCTGGTTAAAGCTTGTACAGCAACCAACAACTCACTCATATTCTGTTCCATAGAAGCTTAAATGACCCACATCCATTTTCCTCCCACACTCTCGCCTTCCTCACTGCCACCAGTTAGCATAAAGCTGCAGCACATTACCCAACAGAAGCAGAGCCGGAGGGAGAAAAGGGGGGGATTTGTACCTAATATCAAAGTCAAGGTTCAGTCGTCATTATCCTGACCCTCCCACTCACCTTGTCTCCATGGATGACCCAATGTCAATCATTGACCAGGTCCATTATTACCCACTGCAGCCAATCACAACCCAGCTTTTAAATCACTCCCAATCTGCCCTTCCATTGAACCTAGCAATAAGGTCATTTAATGCGTAATATGTTTCCAAAGTGTGAATAAATCTGACCTTATCTCTGTGAGTACCATCATTTAAGTGCTGGATTGATTCAACTGTCTTTGTTGAGCGTGAATATACAGTGCAGCTTTTCAGTGATGTTGAGCTTTTACCAAATGTACTGTATAGTAAAATCATTTATAGAGGTCAATTATCCATCCTTTCTTTTCGTAGTGACAGCATAAAAACTCTCACTGCAGATACCATGTCTGCAGTAGACAACAGAGTTAAAGGGCAAGCGCAGCAGTGTGTGGGTCGTGACCACAGGTTAGCATAATTACTGTTGCAGAGAGCACAGGGCATTTATGATTGTGATGCACCTGAATTGATGTATCGTAAAATTATAAAAAGAGAGTATAATAAATATAAGGTAATAGGTTTTTCTGATTGCCTGGAAGAGACAGTCACCACTAGAGGCTTTCTGAACATTGCGAGAAGCAGGTTGTGTAGCACATTCAGGTTGAGGTAATGAAACTGTCCATGAAACTTTTTGATACATTGAATGAATGTTATCATATTTCTTACACACAAAGGTGAAAGACTACTGTATGTATATGTGAGTCTGATATTGATAGTAGAATTGTAATTTTACATTTTCTAACAACGAAATTGATCTTATAAGCTAACTTTTTATCGTCCCCCTTGGTTACGGTTAGTTGCTACAGCACAGCATGTTCCAAATGTAGCACTAAACGTATGCAGCTTGAAATGAGATTCAGCACCTGACATGTTTGAGTATTTTTTTTAAAACAAGTCCATGATTTTTTGTTAGACACTGTAAATGTATATACAGTTTTACTTAAAAAAGTGTAACTCTACACCCCATTTTCAGATACAATGGAGTTATCAAAATAATTGTTTCTATGCAGCTATAAATTGTCAAATGTAGCAACTTGGCTTCGCGTCGGGCCGAACCACGCCCCTTAGCTGTGATATAATGAGCATATACCACGGCCTGTCGTGAGCTATTGCTTAAATATATGATAGCTAACTTTACAATGTTGTGATGTGACGTCAGCTAACATTCTGTAGCTAACGCCGATCACTCACAGATAGCTGCCCAGTTCTCCACTGGTTCTCCTCACACCACAGCTCAATTTCTCTCCTATGGCCGTTATTTCTTCTAATCCTTGGCTTCTCCTGGTCTCTTGGACGCCTAGCAGGCTCATAATTATAATGTCATATGCATTCAAATATACATGTTCAACTTCTTCTGTGTCTTCTGTGTCGAAACTAGCATTGGGATCCATGTTTATTAATACGTTACACCGGCCGCTCTCCCCCTTGTTTCCCCTTTGTTACGTCACACGCGGGAGGTCACGCATTTACTTGATGCGGAAGTAAAAATGTCTTACAAAAACGACGCCAGATGTCACTGTAGTGTATATTTATGTATATTTTTTTGAAAATCTAGTGTATACATCATTTTCCTAAACATTTATTCACAGGTGTCTTTAACCTGGAAGTTTCTCTTTAAAAGAGCCATGGTGACCCTACACCACATACTGCTGCCATGGCACTGCACCCTCCTCATTGAAATAGGAGCAGAAGTTCTCCCGCAGTTGGAGCGATCTGCGTGTGGCATTGTTGGAGCCCATCCTTGGTACATCACACAGGGTTGGAGTATCTGGAGCTTGTTGGAGCAAACACAGTGGGGGTGGCTTAAAGCCCACCTCCGCTCCGTCCGTTAGATGAGCCTGGTCACATTAAATAAGAGAAGGAGTTCAAAACACCGGAATAAAAGTTATAACAATAATCTGATTTTAATGGTAAAAAACAACAATACGAAATACAGAGTGCCCTGTAACAGAGCACTCCGGGCTCCCCGCTCTACTGCCGTGCGATACAGATATCGGGACCAGCCAGTCAGAAACAGGGGGCATCGTGCATGAATAAAGATCAGTATACATAGAACAATTTGGGGGCAGAGTTTCTCTTCCCCCCCAAAATCTCTAATTGGTCGATTTCACTCCTAAGCGAGTCAGAGAGTCCGTGGGGAGGAGTTGTGTCAGCTGCTCACTCCCCTAGGTGTTTTTACTGGTTGGATTCACTTCTGGTCGGGTCCAATACAGCGAATCAGAGTTCTGGGAAAAAGTATGTTTCTTCTGAACAGAGCGTGAGAGCTTGGAAGTAAACAAGGACAGAGTAAATCTTTATCTCTGCACCTGTATTCACTCCTTTACTTCCCCAAGGAATATTTCACACAAACCATTCTTTCCTCAAACAATCAAAAGATTGTACACAGATATATTCGTGCCTGAGATTATATTGGCCCCAGAAAGAACCTTGAAAATAATATGTGTGTGTGCTGATATCTGGGTCAGTGAGTGTAAGTGAGAAGGTTATATATATATATAAGATTACTTGAAAACAGTCCCAAATAACACATGTTTACTTCAAAACAGTTCAAAATAATACATGTTTACCCTAAACAGCTCAAAACAATACATGTTTACTTTAAACAGTTTAGAACAAACAAATTAACCTTAATCTTCACTTCTCAGATAAAGGCATTGCTGCCTCATCTCCCTCAAAATTATGGCCCTCTCCTCCACAAGTCTCCTTTTGCCCATGTAGGCATCGAAGACACCGATTCTGAAGAGAGAGGAACAGCAAGCATACCATTACCGACCAAGACATGCACCAGTAGGATAAGTGAACGGTCATAGTCCATTGACTGGGAAGCTGGTGTTATAGGTCTTGCTTAGTGCCAGAAAATAAAAATGTAATATATAAACACAAACAAGAGAAGCTCTTACCATCACTTTGCATTTCCCATGGCCATATTAGACTGTCTGTTGTTTGCTGTTCTGCAGACAGTCTTCTCTCCACCTCTTCTTCCTGGATTTCTCCTTCAGGAGGCTGTCCGGTGTTGTACTGGCGTATTGCCGCTAAGAGTTTGGTCTTTTCCTCCCTTAACCTTTTGCGACGCAACTGCCGAATCTTGTTGCTGTCTATATGACGTAATTGTAAAAAAGATTACAGAAACAATGTTCAATGGAATTTTTTAATTACATGACTGCAACTGAATAATAATAACTTACCAGTCTGTCTATAGAGGCAAGCTTTCTTTTGGCACAGCCCTAGAAATAGCTGCTCAATGGACATCTGGAGAGACTGATTGTCGCCTGATGTGTTGTCTTGGGTACATAACAAGAAACACAGTTTGAGGACAAAGAAAACATAAGTGTTAATACTATACGTTAAATAACAATGTTATATTATCAAGTTAGGAAACAGCATACCGTTTGTTGCCCAGTCTCTAACATCATTAACCCATTGTTGGACTTTGTCCTCAGGGCATCCAAGCTCTTCGCAGGTGTCCTTAATTTTTTGAGTCTCACCCTCCAACATTGTGATTGTCTGTTGTAAAAAAGATGTTGCAGAAATTGACAAGCAGATAATATAACTTGGGCATTTGGAAATCAACTCATAAAAACTCTAGTACTGTTGAAACAGACTACATCAAAGACAAAGATAAAGTAAAGTAAGAGATGGATAATAACTTCAAGACAGAATTATGTTGGTCTAATGAGAAGAGGACATACCTGATTTTGTCCATGTACTTAGTTGTGATGGCACAACCGTGAGCCAGAAAGCTGTTCAGCCATCTGCCACTCTTCGCTCCGGACCGTGCGACACGCAGCCAGCCCTCCAATTTCTCTCACCTCGGCACACAATCTACACAAATACACATTTTATGATGCGCATGAGATTCACATTAAAGAAAAATTCTTACAATACACAATAATATCAAGGACCCGTGGGCCTAACCTCAGTGGGCCGGGACACTTTGTGGAGATGGGGGCCTGTTGGCATGGGCATGACGCGGAGAGAAACGGTCTGCATGCTGGCAGCAAGGGCAGTTCTGGCATTCGTCTTGGCCGCGCGTTGTTCTCGAGTAGTGTTGCTCATTGTTATTTAACAAGCAATATCATGTGCGATAAAAATGCACGTTTGTAGCTGAAACTGCGTTGACCAGGAACCAACGGGGCAGGCCAAATATTTCTCCTCTGAACATGTGAGCAGCTTTCAGTATAGCACTCATGCGTCTCACATACCAGTCAGCCTCTAACCCCTCATTTCCATGCAACCTGCTGGCTCTTCTTGGCTATCCTCCTGCGAGCAGCTGACCACTTGGCTGGTACCAACATGTGACGCTTTTCCTGGGTCTACAATTAAAGACATTTTAATGTTACGGCACTCCTCAAAACAAGTAAAACGGGCTAGAAAAAAAATGATAGGAAAGAAAAAAGAAGAAACGCCCTTTAAAAAGGGTTCATCGATCCCTGAAATTCAAAAATAAATTTTAATATTCTTACTTATCATCATTGATAAGGCTACTTCCTTAAATTGCAGTTGACATACAAAAAAGATGTAGCCCTCTGTGACTGTCGGGAAACGGTACTGTTTCCTATTCCCCCATCCCACGTCGAGGACAGCCCAATACATTTTGGAGTACAAGGCTGGGCCATGAGAAGGGTTCCCACCACGTCATTTTCTGGCACTCGTACTCGGCAAGGGCCCAATATACTCCAGAAAGTAACTCCAGAAAGCTCTTGGAAGACATCTCCATGGATTTTTCCTGTCTGGAAGTTTGAGAGCAAAATTGTTACCTTAACATGTCGAATAATACCGAGGAAACAGGAAGACTTTCAAGTGGTGGAGGCAAGAGGGCCTATTAGGAGTATCCCTAACACAGACGATATCNCAGTATCCAACACTTTACCAGCTTGGACAATTATTTGTTTGTGACAGGTTTGCACATTAGTCTTACAAATCTAATCTTGTCATGCCTATACTTACATGGCCAATTACCTTGACATATCTCTTGGCCAACACGACATGAAGGTTTTCCTGCTTCCATCTGTTCCATCCCATTGCATGGACAGTCAACATGTCATTGCGAGCTGTTTTTAAAAGTAAAATTGACAAGCAGATAATATAACTTGGGTATTTGGAAATCAACTCATAAAAACTCTAGTACTGTTGAAACAGACTACATCAAAGACAAAGATAAAGTAAAGTAAGAGATGGATAATAACTTCAAGACAGAATTATGTTGGTCTAATGACAAGAGGACATAGGTATGTCCTCTTGTCATTAGACCAACATAATTCTGTCTTGAAGTTATTATCCATCTCTTACTTTACTTTATCTTTGTCTTTGATGTAGTCTGTTTCAACAGTNCAACCGCTGCGGACTTGCAGGGACGCCTACCTTCCACGTGACCGCATTGCGGCTCCCACCACCAGCAAGTTCCTGCAGGTGCCCTTTCAGACCAGGCTTATCAGTTCCGGGTACTTCCTTCGGCTCTCTCCCTCGCTCCAAGGGTGTTAATCTAGGGCGTGGCTGAGCTCTCGCCACCCCTGGCAAGCACAGGGCCATGAAGGCCTGCCGTACCTAGAGGGAAAATCTGCCACCGTGGTTTCTGCGCCGTCCCGGTCCCAAAGTGGCCCAGGATACGGGAGACGCGCCTCATGAGGCTATGTGAACCCGTAGCAGCAGTTGCGGACCTGGTGCACGTAATACATCTGGAAAGCGCGACCTGTGTCCCGTCAGAACAAGCACATGCTGTCACTTAAGTTGGGTGTGAAGTGCCTGAGCGCATTCGGTCACAGTGCAGAGCTCTACCACGATGTGATATCCACCTCCTCGTGTGGACGACATTCACAACACTTCTCCCCTTCTACAGGCACCGGCACCGCTGAGAGACATGCATCTACAGTGACAGTCTCCTCCGGGATGTGAATGGCGCCCATGGACATGCCATCAGAGATAGGCTGTCTCTCAAGCGTGACAGAGCAGTGCAGGCACTGAGCGACACCTGACCTTCCTGTGCCTGTGCCACTTGGCGTCCAAGTGAAGGCTGTTCAGCCACATCTGCAAAGGGCGCAGCGACAGCAGGCCTAAGGGCACAACGGCTGAGACAGCCGTCAGTCTGCCCAAGAGCCGGAGGAACTGAATGTATGACACACTCTTGCCCAGCCTGAAGATGGGGAGAAGGTGGGAAATGTCGTCCATACAACGATGTGTCAGGTAGGCCCTCATGGCGACCGAATCTAGGACCAACCCCAGGTAAGTGACCCGTTGGGAGGGGACCAGGCAGCTCTTCCCGGTGTTTACTGTCAGGCCCAACCGGGCTACGTGACATAAGAAGCGCGCCATATCCTGGGCCACTTGGGACCGGGACGGCGCACAAACCAGCCAGTCGTCTAGGTACAGCAGGACCGTCATTCTCTGTGCCTGCAGGGGTGCGAGAGCTGCCGCCACGACCCTGGTAAACACCCTTGGAGAGAGGGAGAGACCAGCAGAGGGAGCGGGGAGCGAGAGCACTGCCTTCACCTAGCTGAGTAAACGAAGCACAGAGCTACCAAATAAGTAAGCTTAACAGGGCAGCTAGCCAGCCGGCTGCTGCTCACAGTCAAGAAACACTCTTACCAGGAGCGGGGGTGAAAACACTGCCTTCACTGGTTGAGTTAAATAGCGAAACACAAGCTAAGGAAACTGGCTTCTAAAGAAAAACAGCACGGGTAATCCGTGGATTCCCTGACGTAGTCGTCAAGATCACCAGCCAATCAGGATTGGCGTAATGAGATTGATGCTTCTGAGACATACGCGGGGAGGCGCATCCCATAGTGAGACATCTCACTCATGTTACTCTGAGAACCGGGGTTATGCTAGTAACCTATAGTTTTGATAGATGAAGCTTGTTAACAAAATGAAATACAATTTAAACAAACATTTAGAGTTTCTCTTTAAGTAAGCTAATAAATGAAATGCAGAGCATTTATTACAAGGCTTATTTCAGTGTGTAATGTGTTTTTATGTAACGTATACACAAATTTAAGACAACTATTGCATAAAGCATCACCAACAACACACACCATTCTAAATCATGGCAGGAAAGCTTCCAAATGCAAACCCATTTTTTTTGTTCTAATGAATTGCAGTCCTTTGACGAGAATCGAGGGAGAGATGAGATGTCCAATGAATAAGTGAAGCTGTTGATCATAAGCATAAACATGCTGTAAAACTCAAGAAGACAAGAAACAAATCTCGTCCAGTACTCTTAAAACGCCTGCTGCTTCAGAAATGTTCTAAAAATTCCAAAGTTTTAATAACTTCAGAAGATTCTATGTTTACTTGAGGACCGATCTAAAGGAGTCAAGAGTTCAACAGTTTGGTGATTGTGTTTGAACTTTAAGAGTACAGGCTCCATCAGTCCGTATGGTGTTTGCTTGGGCAAGAAATTGAACCCAAAATTACTCCGGAAGCCATAGACATGCATGTTAGTTTGTGTGAATGTATGTTTCTTGATGATGAGCCATTTTACGCCTTGTTTGGTTTTGTGTCTCTCGAAGCAATGTGTGACAGGGTCAAAAGATCATGGACTGCTGTAGTCCCCAAAAAAGTGACCACTGCTTAACCGAGCTTTGTGAAACGTGACCTCACTCCACTGTTTTCAACCGGTTCCCCCTGTGAATCAGTTTATGAGAATTGTAAGAACAAACCTCACTGAAAAAAGTAAGAGAAGTGTAAGGTATGGATACATTTCTTTGTTTGTTTTTTTGCTAAAGGCTCATCAGACAGGAGGAGGCGCATACCATTCCGGATCCCCCACAGCCTGGTGTTCCTCCCCGACAGACAGGAAGTCTGTGTGGCTGACAGGGAGAACGGACGCATCCAGTGCTTCATAGCCCAAACTGGAGAGTTTGTTAAGGAAATCAAGAAAGAGGAGTTTGGGGGGGAGGTGTTCGCCATCACGTATAGCCCTGCTGGAGGTGAGATCATGAACACTCATCACACCTTTATTTCCTGTTGCTCAGTTGTAATGCCCAAACTGTGGCCTGAACTAGAAGCCATATTCGGGGTAAGCGAGGTAACTTCATGTTTAAATCTGGGTTCAGAACACTGATTCACTTCCTACCTGGGTACATCGCCATGGTAACTTATGCTGACTCTAACATGCTCAAGAGCAGGTTATGTTTGAGATAAAGGAAAAACTGACCAATCAGAGCTCGGTGCACAGTGAACTAGGGGCACTATGAAGACATATTCCAGGCTACAGGAAACACAACAAAAGGCTGACCGTGAAAGTGTGTAAATTAATAAAATATCACAGCCCATCAACAATCTGACTATACATTTGCCTTACATAAATATCTTATAATGACCCACAACATAAATAACTGGAGCAAAGTAATTCAGAGCAATGCATACAGTCTGCGGAACTGTAAGTATCATTCATATCACATCATAACATATCACATCACATCCTACCATATCACATCTCATCACATTATATAATAGCTTCCTGAGCTATGTGGTCATGCACTTACAGTGCCACAGACGGCTTTCTTAGTGTTACTTTTGTACAGCTTGCATACTTTCATGTATGCAGATTTTAAGGTATGAAACATTTTGGCAAAAACACACATCCATCCATAACGATACATCCAAATAACACCATGAGTGTATTTAAAGTCAGATCTACTGGTGCCTTAGGATAGGCAGTGGTACTGTAAACCTGTTCAGTGACACATTCACAAAGTCGGAGATGTCTTTTGCCAGCTGTTCTCAATGCACTAGCAGCTGCAGCTACAGTATGTTACTTTTATCCTGGATTATGTGTTAACTCATAAGATTTCACTTCTTTGTATTCCTCTGTATTATAGTTCACTCTTCATTCATCATGACATATGACTCTACTTTTAATGTTTGTGATTGGTCAATTGTCCCTTCATGTGGACACGCTCATATCCAGACTGACACTCTGTGTTGGCTTAGCGAGTTGATAACCAGAGTGGTGGTACAGGAGCATGATGGCATCTGTTAGGGTAGTAGTTCCAGATAACACAAAGATATCCAGGGCATTTTGAACCGGCTTGGTATTTCAGCCTCTAGGTTACAGAACTGTTTAAACGTTCTATACTCTCAATAGGTCAGTTGTGTCTTGCTGTGTTCTGAAGATGATAGTACAAGTCTTGTAAAAAAACAGATTACATAACAATCTGCATGGTTATTTTGTTTTACAAACTTGAGGTAAATCAGGCAGACAGGTTCGCAAGATTATATTGAGCTGCATGATGAAATTCATTTGTACATGCTAGAATATTCCATTATTAATTGTTGGTAATTTAAGGTGTGTGTGTGTGTGTGTGTGTGTGTGTGTGTGTGTGTGTGTGTGTGTGTGTGTGTGTGTGTGTGTGAAGATGGCTTGATTTTCGCAGTAAATGGGGAATCTCCGTTTGGCTCAGCTACACTTCGAGGTTTTGTAATTGATTATTCCACCCTGGATATTTTGGATATCTTCAAACCAGAGGAAAAGGTAATGATACACACAGTTACACAGTGTACTGAACCTAGAGGTTTGGGATGTGATGCGTCATTTTTGTTGCTCTAACTTTTGCATTAATCTGTATTTTCTTTCATTAACAGGAGTTTAAAATGCCTCACGACATGGTTGAAAGAGGAGATGGCTGCGTGTTTGTCGGGGATGCAGGCAGTAAATCAGTCTTCAAGTTCACCACTGAGAGTAAGCACAGCCTTATTAAGACAATGATAAACTGGCACTATTACAACTTCTAATGTGAACAATCCATCTAATCTTGTTTGCCTTATGTTTGAAAGCAGAAATCATTTTGATTTTTTTTAATAAGTATCTATAAGGTCATTTTTTATGAAAACCTTATCATATGATATAGGGATGTAACGATACACTCAACTCACGATACGATTCACGATTTTAAGTTCACGATACGATTTTCTCACAATCTTTTTTTTTTTTTTAACAGAATGAGCTGAAGTGACCGAAAAATATTTCTGTATTTATATAAACTGTACAAAACAACGTACATGTTCTCATCAAAAGTGCAACTAAAACTGTAAACTGTGCAACTGTATTTTATCTTAACTTGTTAAACCCCATGCCCCCGCCCGCGTAAAACTATGTCTCAGGGCTTTTTAACATTTAACAACCTATTAATGTGTCCGACCCACTTAACGAGGAGAAACTCAGCTAACTGACGATATGAACAATTTTTACCCAAACAAAACACAACTCTAACGCCGAGCGTCTGAATTAGCACTAAGCGAAAGAGTGCTGACGCACTTAGCACTTAACTCACGGTAGAAATATTTTATACTTCATCGGATCTGCACAAACTAGATATCATATGAAAGCTGAGATTCCACAGATTCCAATGGAATACGTATTATCACTGTGCGTCCAAAACTCATGGCAGTGAAGGCAAGCAAAGACTGACCTTTGCTGTTTTCTGATCAAAAGTTGTGTTCAATGGCATTAAAACGCAAATAAACGCTGCTGAAGTGATTACTGATAATCCATCATAACATTTATGTCAATAAACGTACTTTTCATATAGAGTGTAACATAGCTTCCGGTTTTGGGCCTGCTGGCTGTGCATTACTCTCATTCACCAATGGTAATGTTTAGATGGATTTAGGAACCTCCCCTCGATTCTATTGGCTCTAACGGTTCAAAAGAGGTGTCAATCACCAAAATCGACGAATGGGTTCCAGAGGTATGGCAAATACACTTACTCATCACTGTACCCTGTATGCCAAGGCAGGTTTGCCATCACTTACTGTAAAGAGGCTCAGTCATTGGTAGACGTTTATTTATAAAGCTTTGTTTGTCCAACTGCGATTTCACGCGCCCAAGGCGACCAACAACCAATCAGGAATCTCCCAGGAATCTCCCGCCCGCCCCCGGCATACAAAGCCTTTCCATTCAATGTTAAAACGAAGTAAACTGGATATAAACTCCCCAAACAGGTGAAAACCTACCAGTTTCACCAACTGTCTCTGCCACCTCCCTCCATGCCTGGTTCCTCCGGTTTAGGTCCCGGTAGGTGAACAGAGAGCAGTCGTAAAGGACTGGGACACTTGCCACGGCAATGATTAATTTTAGGGGTGCACCGAATGGGAAATTCTTGGCCGAAACCGATACCGAAAATAGGAAACAGCTGGCCGAAAACCGAATGCCGAAAGGCCGAAAATGATTAATAGAAATATATATAGCCTTGCTAATAAATGTAGAAGCGCTTGAGTAGGGGGGGAAGACGCCACACCCTCGTACCGTACCAGAAACGGTTCCCGTAGTTAGCCCGTAGTAGTCGTAGCTACGAACCGAGCACGAACCGTAGTCGGTTGTTATGAGGCAAATACGTTAAAGGGCGGTCATGTTCCGCCCGATCGCATAGTTAGCGCACCATACGACCTATGCGTCAGAACTGATAGAATAGGTATAGCAGTAATTTTACCTCCTATTTAATTAAAGTCCCTACGTGGCTATAAGCCGCGGCTCATTTAATAGCCGCGGCTTTTACCCAATTTTCACGGAAAGCCGAAAGCCGGCTTTCCCAAGATCGTGGCTTTTTATATGCTTACAGTCCTCTTGGTACCCAATGCACATTTCGATTGCACAACAACACTACTGCATAGTTTTGCGCCGTCTAGTTCGTCCGCGCTGGTCCGAGCGCCGGACCGAGTGTCGGTGTACAGACCCGAACCTCTATAAATTTTTATAGTCTTTCTCCGCCGCCTAACGCTGATAACATTTTGCACAAGTCGAACTGTAAAAAGGGCTCCCCCGACGTTTGACGTTTCGAAAGGGGTGAAGCCTAATTGAGTGGTGAACTTTAGCTTTTTGTGGCCTGTTTAGACGCCTCATTCTAGTGTTAGTGTTCGTGACGCGCTCTCTGAACAGTGCGCGACGGAGAGTACAGAACTCTTTGGCGAGGTGAAAAAGGAATTATTCATCTCTTCCGACCGAAATATCCCGAATAAAAAAAAAAGAAATTCAAAAAAAAAAAAAGATGTAACAGATGGAGCATATGGGTGACAGGACTTTGTTAAAGTAACACTCAATATTAAGTGGTAGAGTTTCCACATAGTAATCCCCCTTTACTGTCGTCGTCGGTCCCACAAGTTATATAAGCATGAACAGTCCATAGAGTTTAGCCTATGCTTACAACAAAAGTACGAGTACTCCTGTCGGGTGGGAAGAAGACGGCTAAGAACTTTAACATTTAGAATTAAACATAACTAACACCTAAAAACATAGGTCAGAAAGTGCAAATACAATAAGACGAATATGTTACAAATGATGTAAACGAATAGCTCCTGGTCTGCGTTCAAAATTCGTGGAACCGAAACAGACTTACGCTCGAAACAACACAACATTAGGCATGTCTCTTTCTTTTACGTGCAACTGACACTTAATTACATGACATACGTAAGTTTTCAACGCTTATTTACAAAATACCTGGGTATTATCACTAATAATAAATGCAAATTCAAACGTATTAAAGTAAGTTCATCAAAAGGTATAGTCCGTGCTTGTGTAACCATTTTNATTTCTGTCTAAACTAAAGCTAAGTTTACAGGACTATAATTCAGTATTTCTTTAGTTAAATAATTGTCTGACTATTTAGTGATGTAGGACAGCCACCTGGTTCATACCTCAGCAAATCTGAAGAGGAAAATAGTTGTCATTCTGAAGTTATGGGCTTTCTTGTCACCTTTCCCAACACAAAAAAGATTTTTTCCCCCAAAATAAAATTGGACAACAATCAATTTCATTAATGGGAGACCCCAAAGATAAGAAAAATCATTGTTGTCATTTGTTCTACCTCGGGTAGGGGTATCTCAAAATCTGAGGGCCCTTCCTGCTGGACTATTAGTGCAAAGATAAAATGTCAGTATCAAAACAATGTGGCAATATAATAACAAACTGTGCCAGGTGAGTCGTATGCACAGTAAATAGGAGCCTATTTACTGTGCATACGACTCACCTGGCACAGTTTGTTATTATATTGCCACATTGTTTTGATACTGACATTTTATCTTTGCACTAATAGTCCAGCAGGANCCACTTTATTTTACCTTTGACTTTTTGTATGATTTGACTCTTTTAATGTGGAGATGGTTATGCTTTTTATATTAACACCTACATTACAATGGTGATACATGTGGATTGTTATTCTCCAATAGGAAATTTATAAAAAAATGATGTGTCAACAGTCTTACCAATTACAGGACATTGGCATAATGTGGCTATGAAGTGCATTGCATTATTAATAAAAGGAAATAATCTACACTTTCTACTTAGAATTCAGAATTAAATGGGAATTTTAAAACCATGCACAGTAAAGATATTGATATATTTTTGGGAAAGATAATTACTGCTCAGGCCCACAAACCAACCACTCTTGTCCCCACAGGCATCAGCAGCTTCTAGGAGGTCCCCTTTGAGCCCAGTGGCCTTCTGCGAGACAGCGAGAGACAGCGATACCCAGCGATACCCAGCCCGAAACCAGCCCGAACACACACACACACACACACACACACACACACACACACACACACACACACACACAACACACACACACACACACACACACACACACACACACACACACACACACACACACACACACACACACACACACACACACACACACACACAGTTTGTGTGTGTGCTCACACACCAACTCACAGCCTCGCCGCGTCATTCATTTATGTTTATATTCAGTTGCAGTCAAATGTTAAAACAAATAGCTGATGGAATTGTATGTTATTATGAACAACCTTTAGAACATTATCAATGGTGTGGATAAAGATCTCCTCTGTTCCAGCACCATATAATAAATCTGACCTCTGACCTGCAGTCTGAGTCTGTTCAGGATCTCTGAGATGTTTATCCTTCGTCACGTAAGCTGCTTATAAATGCACATTTATACCGACCAGATCACTGTTTATCTTTAAATGGTTATTGGGTTTATGTAGGCCTAGGTAAGAATACCTTAAAAAGGCGTTAAATCTTGAGTAAGTAAGTATTTTCTTTGAAGAGGACATATTCTGCTCATGTTCATGTTCAGGTTCATATTAGTATTTTGTGTCTCTTCTGTGACATGTCTCCATGCTTTTCATGTTTGATTTATATTAAGATCTGTATTTTTTTTGGACTAAAACAACCAATTTTTCTCATGTAATAACTGCAGGGAAGCCCAAGCCCGGCGTCATGGGCGGGCCCCATGGGGCTGTGCCCGCCCATCCAGGATTTGGGCCCGCCCATGAGAAATCAGAGCTGATTAAAAAAAAGTATTATATAAAAATATTTTTTAAATGTTTGTATTATTATGTTTATTGTTGTTATTTGTAGGGCTTTGTCATACCATTTATTTTTGTATTAAACTATGTTGAAACATTAGTACAAGATAATTTTTTTATTTTGCTATGAAATTCTGAATGAATCTCTGTGCGCGAGACTGGTATTTCGCGGGGTTGAGTCGTGTGTTTTTTTTTTTTTAAGTGAGATGCGTCACAGCAGCCTGTCAGTTTACTCTGGCGGTTAGTTTGGCTATTATCCTTTTTTATATGTATCGGCAACAATGGATATTAGGAAGTGGTTCACGAACAATAAGAGCTCACAAAAGGATTGTGGCAACTCAGCACCAGATGCTGGCAACTTGACGTGTCCCCCGGCACCATCTCTTCTACCTTCTCCTCCACCAGGACCCGACTCAACGTTGTCAGACGCAGCCTATTCGGAGCAGGGCAGCAGCAGTTCATCCTTTAGCAGCCCAGGCCCAGCTCCCGTTCTAAACGCTTGTGATCTTGGAGATTTTAGTTTTCTAGTTCCAGAGGACCTTTGCGTGGATACACCAAAACAGGTAGCCCTGGAAAGTTTTCCATCTCGGCTGTTCTCTGGGAAAAAACGTAGTTTTGCCAGCTCATGGTACCAAAACCGACCCTGGCTTGAATACTCCGTGA